AACTCACCAGCAGCAGGTGATGTGGAGGATGGCTTGGGCATGTCTTCGCCACCTGCAGTTCCAATAGCACTAGTCACCAAATTCTTGAGGCTTGAAGAGACAGTAACAGGTGGAGGCGCCACGCTCGATACTCCTGGGGCAGGAATACCTGGTGATGAATGCAGAAGGCTGGTAATAGTGGGGTTGCTGGAGACTCCACGATGATGTGCTGTGATGGCAGAATGCAGAATTGATGACTGCAAAAGATGAAATTCACAGTGGTTGATAAATAAGTCATTTTACAGAGCTGCAAAAATTTCTGATAATACGAAGTTGTTGTGATTTATTTTTAGGTACCCTCCGAGTATCTGTATGAGAAGAATCGAGGAAAATATAAGAAAGCCTCTGAGGATAGCCAGCCTTTGAAGAGGATTCAAGTGAGTGCGTTCCAAATATGAGTCAGACATATTACTTCCATACTACATCACTCAGTTTTACGTCCATGTTAAATGACAGTCACCTGGAGCCACGATGGATCACTCAAGAAAGTGATAACCTATAGCCAGAACTTCAAATTTCCCATTAGAGTTAAGACATTGGATGTCTGGTCTGTATCAGTGGTCCAATACCTTTATCATCACTATTGATATTAGTGTTTAGACCAAATGTTACATTATAACAAGAAATGAACTTTGATATGATAAAGACATGGCCATAACAGATCTGAAACTTCTGTACCAACATGTTTCGCGCCGACATTAAAACCAGCAACCTTCCGAAAAGAAGCTAATACGCCAACCACTACATGAAGGTGTGGTGCAGAGTCCTTTATTTGCTTCTACGTCCTACGTGGTGAGCATGCTTGCATCCCACACAAGATGAGACAGAAAATTCACCTGTGATGATGGGGCAGGCGACGGGCTCTTTAGTAGACTTGTCAACAGTGGGGAAGTTGGGGTTGGCACCACTGGTTTAACTTCAGCAAGAACTTCACTGGTTTCATCACCAATCACCTGCAAAAATTTATATACATTGCAAATATGATTTGGAATTGAAGATATTACGTAATAAAGATGCCAGATAATTCTCCTAACAGTGTTAGAAGAGACATGAAAAAAGGTTATGATTGTCTGGAAAAGAGTCTAAGACCAACAAAACAAATGAGCACACAATTTTAGCGACGAGAAGTATTAGAAAATAACAAGGATAGAAGAGACATGAAGCTAAAATAAAACTGAGCTTAAAATGACTAGCATAAACTTAGGCATGTGGTGCTGAGAGTACATAAATGACATCTGCTTCATGTTTGATGTAACTGAATACTTTATACACCAATTCTGAAGGTGACTGGCTCACAAGAGCAACTGAGAGTAGATGAACAAATGTCCAAAACTCAACGCTGTCATTTGCACTGTACTGTTCGAAGCCTGTTGGAAAATCGCTACTTCAGTTCTAAGACACAGAAATGAGGACAATATTAAAACAGAAAGGAAATGATTACAGTGAGAAAATGTCTTAGAAAGTAGCGACATGTATATGAAAAACAGAGGCATAAAGATAATTTTAAAATTTAGGGGAACAGAACATGAGAATGTGAACTGGAAGAAACGATCTCAGAATAAGGTGTATTGTTTGTTTATTAGTGTGTTCAATGATGCTGTAATAACTGCACATTATGATTACGGAGAAAATTAATCTAAAAAGAAACGTGGCCTACACCCTGGTGCATCCCTCCATTCATCTGGAGGGACTAAGAAAAATATAAATCTCAGTCATGAGACTCAACTAAGGACTGCTAATCTATACACTGTACTGATTGGTAAAAACAGAATATAGATATACGCTCAAGAGGTAATAGATAAGTGTTGAGGAGTAATTGAGAATAAACACATGGGCATAGATGTTGATTTGTGTTCCTCCTTCCCCAAGTCTTAATACAACTCACGTCTACATTGAGTGGCTCACTCAGGGGACTGTCCACCACGCTGTCTGCTTCACTACTTGGCTCGGACTGGCTGCTATTGCGGCGACTCCCACCAGGGCCACGCTGGATCTTCTTACGATGCGGTGAAGCTGCTGTCACTGTAAAACAATCATCGGTAGACTTCTCAGTGAAGTACATGAAATAAAGCATTATACGAAGGTTATGTCTATCCATCCATCTGCACATTTCACCTTGAAAAATATGCCTCGTGGATTTCAATTAAATTTAGTATTGGACATTTACAGTGAAAGTAGCTGGGACAAGCTGAATTTTGTTCCCTTTAATGCAACCTAAACCTCACTTTAAAAGAAATTAAAATGTAACGTCATTATTTCTGAAATGGCTCGTCATACAACACACTGGTACACGACGTAAAATACACCTGTCACTGACTAGGAAGACAGATTTGTTAGAAATTTCTAATTTGTCATTTCTTGTGTTAGCAAAATTCAAATGATATTTTTATGGCATATTACAAAATGAATAAGAATTGATAAGTCTGAAATCAGAACATCAGGAAGCAGAAATATCATATGCAAAAATTTGTCAAATCGAAGAGGGCAGCATAATGGGACACACATTCTGCATGGATGACAACATAATTCCTTCACAAGTTCCAAAAAACAAGCTGCTGAAGATATTACTGTTGGGGAGCCCACATTTTGCATGGATGACAACATAATTCCTTCATAAGTTCCAAAAAATAAGCTGCTGAAGATATTACTGTTGGGGACAGAAATATTAAGTGGGGGAAAACGAACAAAACAGATTACGGAAAGATTGTGCATACAGGTAACCCTCGATTCAAAAACGGCGTTATTCTGAATCGGCGCAAATCGAGGGTTACCTGTATAAACATGTGTAGTGCTTACAGCAGAAGCAACAACGGCTGTTCATAAATTCTGCCATACCAAGCATCGGTTATGATGAAAATTATTTAAACTGTTATCATGACAAAGTTTCACTGTAGACAGCTTCTCACTTCCCATAGCAGCAACAGTATCCCTTCAAAAGGACGCTCCTCAGAAAACCTCCAAAACTGTTTTAGAAATGGTGTGGAGGGAGAATCAGTTTTCATGTTTGTGTGACATACCTGGAGGCTTCCACGCTCTCTCCAGCTCGATCTTCTTCTCTTGTCTTTCCTGCAACCATTGTTTGTGTGCCTCTGCATCTCGATCCTTCTGCTTCTCTTCCCTGTCATGAAACAAACTTTACAGTGGCTGCTGCATGCATTGCGCTACTCAGTTACAGATGCGTGTGCAAGCACAAAACCAGGTACCCATACAAAACCACCAAGTATTTACACAGTCCAGATATTACATAAGAATTTAAGTCATTACAACGATGGGGGTTTAACGTAAACTTTGAATTCCAGGGACGAATACAGCAACTGCAATGAATGCTAAAATGGTGGAAAACCTTTCCAACAACAAATGCATCTTATCCCTGATGGACAAAGTTATTGTACAAACGTGCAATTGCACTTACACCTCAATCTGCTGGCACATCTCTCCGAGCTTGTCATCGACTTGTCCTGCCTTGATCTGAGCCACTTCCTCTTTCATCTTCAGGTACATGGCCCGTTCCTCCTGCAGCAGCCTCTTCAGTTCGCTTATTCTCTCTGCAGCATTGGAATTATGTCAATCCTCTGACAAGGGACTACTCTCATATGATAAACAGTTTCATTGTGCAGCTAAGTGGTCAAGAAACTCTACTTTTATGTAACCCAAAGACGGATGACTGTGTTCACAGAACTTTTCTATTGGATCATATCAAGAATCAGTTCAGTTCAGTTCAGTTTACCTCATTATTATTTTAACTGCGTACCATCTGCTGCGGTTATGTAGTAATAAGTGACAAACAGTAAGATGAATTGAATGACAATCTCAAAAGTCATAAATAATTCCTACTGTACCATCTGCTGTGGTTATGTAGTAATAATTGACAAACAGTAAGATGAATTGAATGATAATCTCAAAAGTCATAAATAATTCCTACCATGAGTGAGGTTCCTCACAATGGCTTCTCCGGGTGTTTCAACATGTTCACTGCCAGACTTGTCAGTTCTCTTCTTCCGTTTTGGTGTATCAACATTCTCCAGCAGATTCCCATACTGCAGGGCACAGCTCTTCTGTGAAAACCAGTCTACAGGGCGTCCAGGCTCCCCAAAGAGTCGCAGTGCTCGACTTACGGACATCCTGTTTCATATATTCATACATTTATAGCCACCATTCCACAAAAATACCTCAGTAAACTTAATTCACATCCATATTTTCAACATACCAGTTCTGGTCTCCACTTCGAAGTACAGCGGAGGCTAAACATAGCTTCTCCTTGATAGACCAAGTGTCTATTGGAATCCTCTTTAACTTCAGTCCTGAAATACAAGAACAATCTATATGTACCTTTCAGCCCCTTAGCATTGCCCAAAGTGCTCAGTACAAAAAGCTCAGACATCACAGTGTCATCCCACAAACTCAGCCCATCAGTAACACTGCTAACTTTGGGTGTCCTTTGTAGAATTAATGTTTTGGCTATTCTATAAACGTGAACTAAACTTCTTATAATGAATCATGCTATACAAAGCTATTGTTCTACTAATAAAGTCCTTTATCCTTCTGCTAAGCCCTTCAGTGACTGTTTCATGTTAATATTTCCGAAATTTTATCAAATGTCACATTAACGGAAAAAAGAAGCTAGTCACAGCAGAACGTTTGTGCAAGGTCACATTCTGATGATAGCATAAAATATATTATCTGGATGATAAAAATTGCGTTTTTTAACTGTTTAAATGACACTGACTGGCGGTAATTTCCGCGACGGTGTTAAGACCGAAGGCCTTTCAGAACATTTTAGAGACACAACAAACGTTTACTCTGGGCCTTTATTTTGCATAATGTATATACTTATCTACAAATCAACTTACTTTCTTGTACTGAATTCATATTTGTAAGTTCTACAGTCTATAACAAAACGGCTCGAACAACTTCGTAACTTACTACGCCATATTGTATCAATTTTTGGAGATGAAAAGGACCACATAAGTGTTTGACAAACTTTCTCTATATAGTAACAAAATTATAATTTGGATTTAAAAAGTATGAAATTTCTTAATTCATTAATGAAATTGAGGACGTGTCCATTTCAAGGTTATGTATGATGGAAATAATTTTCGACAAAACTCCTGCCGAAAATTACCTTGTGTTGAAGATAAAATACCTTCAATGACATTAACTGCCATCTATTTGTAGTGAAACAACACAAACGGCCGGAATAGGACAAGTTTGAACTTTGCCACAGGCTTTCTGTTGGCGTATTTTCCTCGTTACCGAAAATAACCCTACTCATCGTTATGCTGTAAAGTATTTACCCAAAACTATGAATTTCAATTATATTACATATAACTTTCCATCAGCATGATAATGTGTTCCTCAAGCAGCTAATACTGATCTACTTAATTAATGTCTTGATTTTTCTGGAACTAGAAGATTCATTACCATACTCACATAATAAGACCACCAGTGAACATCTTGAGCCAGTTCAATACAGTCCACCCCATAATTCTTAAGCCACATTTTTATATTGATACCCAATTCAGATCCTCCAGGTGGTTTCATTCTTTGATGTTTTCTGACTCAAATTTTGTACACATTTCATCTTCCCCGTGTTTGTTAGGTGTCTGGTCCACATAATCCTTGATTTAATCACACTAATTATATATGGTGAAGAGTGAAACTTATGAACTTCATATCAAAGTTTTCTGTTGTGTACTGTGTTTTTGACAGTTTATATTTTATTAGATATGTTTTGGTGCTTGCAGCAGCATCATTATTCTTATATATGTATTATATGCAGTATTCAAACACTTTTGTACAATTCTTCATTAACCATTATTTTTCTTCTTAATTACAATTCAACAAAGTGCAAAGTTACAAATAAAATGTACAGGTATACAGTTTATCATCAGCTACATTTTTTTCAGTATTGCATATCATTACTATTCTACATCTTTGGCAGTTGTTAACATGTTTTTATTAGCTACATTAAGCTAAAGTTCTTGGATTCAATTATGGAATAGCATAATGTTAAAACATGTATAAAAATTGGAATTGAATAAAGGCATCAGAAATTACTAACAAAATAGACCACCATTTTCATTTGGCTTTGGTCCAAAATTAGTTAGAAACAGGAACAATCTACCCCAAGAGGAAAACAATACCCACAAGGCAGTGGAAGCACAGGATAGCGCTTGCTATGTTGTGTGTGCCCAGCCAAGAAGAAATTACTAACTAACTAGATGGCTTACAGAACCCAAAGGTTCATCACCGAATTTACAAAAGCCCTTCACCAGACCCTGTCCTGGGCCAACAAAATCCAGTTGCTTTCAACTTCTTTCTCCCACAGATCCTGCCTGACATTATCCTCCCAACTACATCTAGGTCTCCCCAACAGTCTCTTCCCCTCAGGCTTCCCGACCAATAAGAAGAAATTACAGACTACAAAATTTCAATTTCTACATCAAGGTTTTTTTACAATGTTGAAAGGGAAACATTGCCAAAAGCGTAAATGCTGTATGTATGGATTTGTATGAAATAATATTTTGTTTAGTTCAAGAATCTATTAAAATTTTTGGAAATAATTTTTAAAATTGTAAAAAAAATTCACTCTAGAGTTTGACAACATATGTTGTTACATAAACCTTTATGAAAATATTTTAGCACAAATTACTTTCATTTTTTCATTGATAACATCCTTAATAGTTTAACCCCTCACCCAAGTTCAAAATCAGACTATAAGCCCTATAGTACAGGAATTTAAATTTTTATTCCCATATAATAAAGGTTAATATATATGTCCAGTATATAAACAGACAAAGAGAACCTACTGGTACAAGAACACATGAAACAGTGCTGTTTGTAGCTTGGAGACTTCACGTACTTCTTTTTGCCACCACGTGCAAAGTAGACAAGGAACTTAACTTCATATCAAATAGGTACTGAAGACGCTTTCACAGTGGGTGAAGTGATGTAAGTATAATACAGACTATGTATTACCATCAATGCCAAGGTTAAGAATCCATGGTGTTACACATCCAATCCCAAATATTTCTTGACGTGGTTCATCTTCATGCAGATAACTTACCTCTTTACCTTTACACGACACTGAGAGCTTTGTTTGTGAGTTTGAAATAAGATAATTTGTGGTTATCCATATTTTAGGGTATCTGAACATACTTTCTGCTTTAACATGCACATGTCATATTTATTGATATTACTGAGTTTTTCTCTTGTATCTGAGTTTTAAAATTGTTACTTTTCGTTACCACATTCCCTCAAATTTCACACTGCATATAGATGTGACAGCTGCCATGCCCAAATGCTAAACACTGTAATTTTTCATACCAGCTGCAACCCCAATAAAATTAAGAAATTTTCATGAAACAGGTACTTGCGTTTCACGGAACAGAGCTGCAATATCCATTGCCAAGTGCTGGAGTCCCACATTTTGTAGGTTCATTATAATAGCAACAGTCACCCCGCAAGGGATGCAGATTTCTGTACTCTGAGTAACCACGGGCTTTGAAGAAGAGAACACTGACAAAGAGTTTGGAGATGAGGAGGTATGAGAGGTTAACTCACCATTTGAAATGACAGCAGCCGGTGATGCAGGAGAAGGAGGATAAGGTACAGTATTTGGGACAATCAACAAAACACTGGACGCACCAACAGCACCACCAGTGTGCCCCACACTAAATTTCTGAATATCACCACCTCCGTGCTCTTGCAGTGATGGCACAACAAACCAGCCCATGCCATAACCGTCGCAACGACCCCACTTACTAGTTGTCCCTGGCTGCGGAGTCCATAAAGCCTGCATTGTCTCGGCCTTCAAGTAACCAGGAGGATATAACATTTCCTGGAATGAAATTTTGAGGCATGTTATAGAAACAGTTACTTGTTTAGCTAAAACCGAAAGGCTATGCTGCACAACACGCAGGCCAATTCACACAATTAATCATTTTAGAAAGGAAACTGGCAATGAATCAAACTCTTCCCTGTCATTTAACTTCACACAATTCTCAAATAAAGACTATATACACATCACACCATATTACAAACTCATTACATGGAGACACCATGCATAAAATAGACTAACGTGACATATATTTATTTATCTGTCACATCTGCGCAACTTCTACAAACAGATTGAAGGTATTTAAACAAAAGGAAAACAATACCAATTGATGAAAAAGATAAATGATTTTGATAAACATGGAGACTCTGAAATGTGGAATCAACTGACCAGTTCATTTCGCCACTGGTAACTGTACAGCATGGCATTCCCAAAGCGCAGCAGGTCACCCACAGTGGATAGAAAACCGCTCCCTGCCCACTTGAGCGAGACGTCCACATATGGCACATTGTTCAGACGACCTCTTGCATTTTTACTGTAGTACCTGGGCACATACAAGTATTCCTATGGTTTATTCAATGATTCTCTCAATAGCTCAGATTACATAGCACTGAATGTTGCAATTCATGACTAATGAACAGGATGGGATTAGTTGAAGGAAGTAATCACGACCTAGCTCACGATGCTACTCATGAATTTTCTTTGGAATGCTGAGGAAAACCATGAAAAATATTCAGTCACAAGAGCCAGTGTTACAAAGTCCAAATACAAATTATGTTAAGCTGCCACATACCGAGAGCGATTATAAATGAGGGGCTCCGGTTCATCCAGGTAGGTGTACTTTAGGCCCATCACCTGAAAGAATTTCCTCATGACTTCAGTAAACGGTTCACTGGCAACTGCCTCCACCACAGCACTTATCAGTGTCCACCCATGAGTCGTGTACAAGAATGACGTTCCTGCAGAAATTTAAATACTTTTTACACACACATTTTAAAGTATATAGATTTACCTCCCCAACAGGCCTTAATTCTAGTTAGAATGCTGAACATTTCTGGGCTTACGATGTCAAAATGCAGTCTGTATACTGTCATAAATTAATGGTTCTATGAATTCTTTCAGCTTAAGGGTACAAACTTATGTGAATATAGGCAACATAGAATTCAGGGTAGATTTCAGTAAGATACATTGTTTTAATTTGTGGTCTCATTAAGCACTATTATTCCAAAACGTTTCATTGGCGAAACACTGAACAAACTCTCCGTCCTTTGGCATCATACTTCATCACACTCTTTGCTATCCTTTAACCATTCATTCTCTCTAAATGCTCATCCCATTTCTGCATATAATTTTTTTCTTCCAATGATAATATACATAATTTTCCTTTTTTGTTTATTCTTTATTTTTAATCTTAGTGCAACCCTTTACAGATAATTTTTCTCTTCCAATGATAATATACATAATTTTGCTTTCTTGTTTAGTTTTTATTTTTAATCTTAGTGCAACCCTTTACTGATCTTGAAAATGTAATTTTGGATGAATATATTACATTCTTTCTTCACTATTGCAATATGTCAGTGCTGGAATCCTTATCATGTGTGATCATAACCTTACCTGGCTTGAACATGAGGTCATCATCTTTGAAAAGCTTCAATGCATCTTGAATGGTTGCAAATCTGTCCCTGATGTAAAACTCCTTCTCACCTGAATCACCCTGAACAGTAGAACCGTCAGGTTTCTCGGCTGTTGCAGAATTTGCTTCCTCCTTTTGAAAAACACATTTTCATAAATATAATAATTTTCATCACATGTTTCTCCATGTTTTTCAGACTTAGCCAAAAGATTCATGACAAACCTAGGAACATTTCACATTCAAAATCATTCTGATGAATTCCAATAAAATGTGGTACAGCAGGTACAAAGTAAAAGTTCTGAGATTTTAGGTCCTCATGGCAGTGACAGTGTCTTCTTCAGTGCACTGCAGTGCAGTCTTACAGGCATGGTTACCAACACTGTGAAGGAACATATCTCCATTTTCAGGAGAAGTTAAAATAGATCACCTAAAAGACCACACAGTATCACAATCAAAGACCACCACCAACACAGTAAACGTTTCTGGGCTAACCCCACATTTTAAATACAGCTGAAAATAATATTTTATCATTAAACTGTGTTTAGATTCAGCCATGAAATAACATTCACATGTTCCAAGTGATTCCCAGATAATTTCATTCCTATGATAACAAAAGCCCAACACTAGGCCCCATAAGAAACCAGTCAAATCCAATTATCTTTACAAAATATTTCTACAAGAACCATTTTAATATTATACTCCCTGTCTATAACTTCATTTCCAAAGTGACCTATTCAAATCATAGCTTTAAGTTTCGTTTGGTCTCTGTGAAAGTGTAGGGATGTTAATAGTATGTAATATCAAACAAGAATTGCACACATAATTTGAATGGAAAAGTTGAAGGGAAGATTCTCAGGAGACATATATGTGCATCAGAAAATAATAATAAGCTGGATAAACATTGGTGTCATATGAACATAAATATGACCTTCAGGTTGTATATAAGTAGAGGATTTCCCGAAGATGACCATCTTCCGAGATGCTGCACTGTGCAGTCTGGTAAACTACTACCGGACTGCATAGCACAGCACCCCAGAAGACATTCTTCTTCAAACTCACCATCATGAGGACCTGAAATCTCACACGAAGGATTTCTTGACCAAGTATGAATTCCTCAAGGAGTCAGTTAATCACGAAGTTGACAGTAACAAGGAAAATGTACAAAAGACTGGATAAACTGGTAAGGTGTACAATGACTGAGGAAAGGAACAGTAAAAGACAGCACAAATGAAGAGCAATGGTAGGAAATGAAAAAAAGAATAGCTTACGCTCTTCTTATCCTTCACTTGCTTGCTGTTAGTTTTATTGTTGGCAGGAGGCTTCTTGTAGTGCCTGACACCTGCAAGGTGACTCACGAGCTGCCTCGTAGTGATTGTCACCTCGAAACATAACAAGAAACATGCACATTGACATTTTAGCTATTTAACGATGCTGGTTCTTAATTTAAAGACCGAAAACACGAACTTCACAAAAAGAAAATTATATTAGATGGTAGTAAGGAAGTTGGTAAATGGAAAGAAAACCAAGTAAATGTATCATAATACAAAATGTTTGGATCCTGCTAGCATTATCCCTACTGAGTAAATCCTTGTAACTAAATGTTGTAGAGGGCAATTAAGAAATATGCAGACTGGGCAACTCTCAGTGTTTCTGCCAATTTTTATGAATATACGGTGGTTTTTTCAAAAGGTATTTGAATGACATACAATCATATAAAAAGACACATAAGGCTGGCAACGTAGGCAGCATGTTCATGTAATATTGAAGAAGTCCTATTTATATTTCATAGTCATTACCCACGTGAAAAATAAGATGTTGCAATAACGTGAACATTCACATTAATAAAGGCAATAGCGTTTGTCTGAAACATATGGCTTGATATTTATTGGAATATTCCTAAAAAAATCTACAATTGTTAATACCTCTTCTTTGTTGAATGTCTTTTTAGGGAATGAAGGCACGTAATACTGAACCGGTTTATCCAAGTCCAATTTCCCATCCTGCCAGAGTTTCGCAACTACAGCCATCGTCATGCTCTTGCTGATGCTGGCAATTCTCATGACTGTATCCGGGTGACATGGCACCCTGTTCTCAACATCTGCCATGCCTAAAGCTGAAAAGAAAACAGACTGAACAACTAACAGGAACCCTAGCCTGATGTCACGTTGCTTCAGACTGCAGAACAAAGTTTCACACTGCACAATAATTTCTGACCAAACATAACAACTGCTCCATCTAGGTTACTCTTACTCACTCACTATATGATGCCGGACATTCATTGAAAAGTTCATTGTGTACTCTGCTTGTGAAAGAATAGCCCACTTTCTTTATGGAACCCAGAGGTTCATCACTGTGTTTACAAAAGCCCATCACTAGACTCTATCCTGAGCCTATTATTTATTTTAATTACTTACAGTTTACTTAACAATGCTGTCAGCGGCTACTGTTATTGTTGCAATGTGCTAAGCCTATGTCTTTGTGGAACTGGGCCTGTAAATGGGCCCCTTGTCCATTCCCCAAATAATATGTAAGTGAACATGCAGCAGTGTAGAATGATACCAACAGCAGAGAACTGAAGGACTTAGAGAAAAACGTGTCCCAGCACCACTTTGTTCCTGACAAATCCTTCATGGACATATCTTGATGTAATCGGGGACTACAAAGTGAGAAGTTGAAGATTAATAGCCTGAGGTATGATACAGCCCTGTCAGTAGCAAAAATTCTTCAGTGTTCAATGATAAGATAAGTAATGAATTACGAATCAGAAAAGATATAAACGAAAATCGTCATGTAATATTTTAAGGTACTAAACCAGCATTTGGCTGGAGAGACAGAGGAAAACCTTGATAAAATTCAAGGTGAATTCTGAGCCTGGACCTTTTAAGATGT